GTATGATAAGTCCATTACGCTCTTCTCTAGATGCTCCATGAAAAGGTTGGCTACGACCGGGCTTAGTGTACTTCTCATTGCTACTCCATCTATCTGTTCATAAATCTGGTCTTCCCATGTAAAGTAGATGGTAGTGAGGCAAATACGGTATAATTCCACCATATCCTTGGAAACTACTCTCTCAATTAACTTCAGAACGTCTTCTAGGGGAACTCTTGTTAATAGGGAAACAACATCAAAGCTAACAAGAATGTCACATTCCTGTAAAGATTACTGTAACATTATAACATTTGTAACTGAATATTCTTGAATCTGATGCCAAAGTGGCAACATTTTTTATTTCTTTTGCCTACAAGTAGTCTTACCAAAGTAAGATAAATTCCTGTTCCCCCAGCCATTTATCTTGTTTCATTTATTTATAAGAGACCCCCTCTTTTGAATAGTGTCCCAGTGTCTCACAAATAATGATTGTATATGTATTGTAACATATGTATAGCATTTTTCACATAAAAAAGCTTGCACGTCATTAAAGATTTACGTCGTCAGAACCCCACAGCGTTGCCAACACATCAAAATAGTTAGTAAGTCAGGCATTTTTAAAATGACAACTATTTGTCAAAACTATTATATTAACAGTAAATACATTTAGTTTTAAAAATACTACAATACATTAAAATACACAAGAAAACATTTTTAATACAAAATTATATAATCTAAATTTCAAACTTATCTCTTTTAGGGCTTTAATAGTAAAAACGTCCCGCCATTATTTCTTGTTCAAAATAATCTATCTTATATGAAAGCTTATCAGCTTTCTACAGACTATTTATTTGTTTTGGAATAGCACAATCACAATACACAACAATAATTAGTTTTTAAAGCTATTAATCTAAACGTAATATGTATTTATAAATACAATTCATTAATATATATTATATTATGATCAAATTGTGTAAGAAATCAAAACAAACAAAATTCTTACGCTAAAAAAGCGGCAACACTTTATACACTTTTGCCAATCGCTGAACTGTCAATAAAATTTGAAGTATTTCCGTATCAGTTGCGTACAATTGTCTAATATATTTAATTAAAATTATTATTTTGTGAAATATTAGACTTAAAGAGTTATTTCATAAAATTTATATTATTAATAATAACAAATGTTTTTGGTTATTTAATCAATATAATTCTAAAATTTCCAATATAATGATGATAACATTTTTCTGATTATTACACCATGTGGACGCCTATGAAAGATCGAGCAGTTCCGTATGGGTTTCGTATTATTAGCTGTGTTAGGAAAATATGAACTCTAAGGTTGATGTTCTGAAAATTTTAAATACAAGTGACGTCACTTTGTATCAGTTTTGACGTGCAAGTGTTTTACTTTGAAAAATGGTATATTATTGTTTTTTGATTTAATGTACTATAGAAATGTTTGTATATAGACAATTGTAGATTTAGTGTATTGGTGATGAAAGCAAATATTTTGAGATTGAATATTTACATATAAATTTTAAGTGATGTTTAATATTGAATACAGTTTATTACAGAATATAATCAGCTTAGTAAAAATACTGTTATACATGAAATACCAAATTTTGAAAACCTCTATTTTCAATTGCAGGATGTTGATTGGCCGTTATTACTGGGAAGTCTAGAAAATTCGGATTTCCAGCAACTTGAAATAATTTCGTAAGCATAAGAGGGAGTGTGAACCGTATGACTAAATCTGGATGATAATATTCCATTTCATTGTTTACTACTCTAATTAGTTAACCAGCTACTTCAATAGTCCCTACATAAACAGTCTTTCATATATCAAAAAGATCATACATAGAATAGAATGCGGAGCAAAATCAAAGGCAAAAGAAGCGCAAGAAGACGTAAAATCTCGATAAATGGTTTGAATGCTGTTCAATTGAACTATTTAGTGAGCGTAATTATAATTGCCAGAATGATTTCCAATCACCGATAGAAGCGGAACTTAAAGAAGAACAGATGGTAAGTGAGCTTCTTTCTGAACTTCTTTTGACAATAATTTATGAGTTATGCCAATCAATTGCTAATTTTATTCGCGCGTTTGACGACGAGTTGAAAATCAGCAGCTTAAAGTTGGCAAAGATCTTAGACCATAAAAACTGATAGACGCGCCGTAATGCTATTCTCTCGTCTCGAAGAGTGAAGCCAACATAAAACGATTCACACAGCTGTGGGTGACATCAGTTTGCGGCAGAAACGGTAGAGATTATGTTTTCAATACATTAATATTTTAGTTATGGTGGCATCTTGCAGTGCATTTGATTGTACGCAACGACAAAAAAAAGGGACAGATATATCATTTCATGGGTAAGTAAATTCACAAATTAAACTTGAAAAACATACCAGAAATGTAGCACCTATTATTTTACTTTTTCCTCAAAAAGTGAAATAGAAACATATGAGAGAGAGAAAGTCTTATATATAATTTTCATTTTATAATTAGATTGAAAACTAAAGGATTAAGTAAATAAATTGTTTTAGACTTCCTAAAGATTCATCATTGCAAAAAAATGGATTATAGCGATGCGCCGTGAAAAGTTTAAACCAACAAAGAGTTCTAAAATTTGCTCCAAACATTTCACAGCGGATATATAGCGAAAATATAAATATAACGAGTGAATTTACCACCATAAAGACTCCAGTAGAAATTTCAGACGAAACTACCATAGAACCTGCCTTGAAAAAGCGAAGACATTATCTTGGTGACTTTGTACAAGGATCATATAACAGAGACCAGGGATATAAAGTAGTAGTAAACAAATTAATTCAAAAGAAAAACAAGCAAATCAAAATGTTGCAACAACGAAATAGAAAGCTTATTAAAAAAGTACGAAAAATTTCTTTCAGTACGAAAAATTAATATTACTTCTTATTAGTGATCTATTTAGCTTTGACATGTATAACAGTTTATTATTTTATATTGTTTGTAGTTAGTCGATCAAGTTTTGATTATTGCTTTTTATTTTATTAGGATACGACGCAGTCTTCTGCAAAAATTATCTTTAAGCAGCTACTTAAATCTAAAAGCACTAAAACATATCCACCGGAGTTAAAAAGCTTTGCTCTCACTGTTAATTTCTATTCACCAAAAGCTTACTTGTATGTCAGAAAAACTTTTCCTAACATGTTGCCTCATCCACGAACTCTTCAAAGTGGTATCAAGTAGTAGCTTGTGAGCCTGGATTTCAAAAAGAAGCAGTGAATGTATTAAAACAAAAAGTAGTTGAACTTAGAAATAAAGGAAAATCATGTATCTGTGCTTTGATGGTCGATGAAATGTCTATACACCAGAAAATAGAATGGGATGGTGAAAACTTTAATTTTAGGTATGTTGACATAGGAAGTAAACCTCAAAGCGACTCTTTTGAAATTAAAGTAAAAGAAGCAATTGTATTCTTAATCAATAGTTTAAATGATTTATGGAAGCTGCCGATAGGCTACTTTTTAATCGCTGGGTTATCAGGTGTTCAAAAAAGTAATCTAATAAAAATGTGCTTAAAAATAATGCACGAAGCTGATGTCACAATTACCAGTTTAACGTTTGATGATGCAGCATCAAATATTAGCATGGTTAAACAACTTGGAGTTGATTTATCGAATAATTCCATTAAAGTATATTTTCTACATCCAGCAACAAATAAACCAATATATGTAATATTTGACCCTCCACATATGTTGAAACTTATTTGCAATACTTTAGGTTATTACAAAATTTTTTTTATCGGGAATAATAAAGCGATTAAATGGGAATATTTGCAAAAAGTAGTAGACATTCAAGAAAAGGAAGGCATTTATCTTGCAACTAGGATAACGCGAAGGCATTTAAATTGGTTATAAGAAAAAAATGAAAGTGAAATTAGCTGTTCAAACGTTTAGCTAAAAAGTTGCTAACGCAATACATTATATAAGAAATAAAAGCTCAAACGAATTTGTACATAGCGAAGCTACTCAAAATTTTATTGAACAGATCAATTGATCTTAAATGTCATGAGTAATGTGCATGGTTCTATGTTTAACGCATACAAAGAACATATGTTTGATCAAGATTTTGAAACAAACCATTTGTTTAATCTAATAAAGATAATTTGTTTCCATTATTGCAACATTAGATTGTACCACGAAGGTGAAAAAGTAAATAATGTAATAAGAGTTAGAAGTAAGTTAATAAAAGCTATTTTGTTTTATGGTCAATAAATTAATAGATTTCTTACATATTTTTTAACCTAACCTGAAACTTCCACCCAAAAGAAAATTACTCTCCTTTAAATTTATTTTTGAATATCAAACAAAAAGAGATATACCAACGATATATATACTAATGTATGTAGGTATGTACTTTCAAATAAAACATTTATTTTTACAATTTAAGGCAAAAATATTTATTAGTTACTTTGCTAAATAATTCATCTTCCATATTTTTTACAAAATATTAAAGTTATATTAAAATTAATCTAAAATTGGGCAATTATACTAGTGCTTTGCTAAGAATCCAAGCGGGCTCTTGCCGCATTGTGACGTCACTTTCGCGGAACGTCTTTGCTTCAACGGTTCGGTACAAGGCGTGTCTATCAGTTTTTATGGTCTAAGGTAAAGATCGACAAAAGAATAATTTAAGTGATTTTTCGTGACAATTGCGTACAAATTACCATGTGCAGCTTTAATTCGAAAGGACTGTTCCTTTCAAAACCAGTAAATTGTTACTTCTTCCTGTAAGGCTTACACAGAGCTGGAAACACATGTTGCTTTCTTACCACAAAAAGATGCTGGGAATTTCTGATGCGTATAAAAAAAGATGCTGGGAATTTCTGATGCGTATAAAAAGCGTGCGTTTTTAGTTTTATAGTTAGTTGGTACCTTATAGTTTTAAGAAAACCAATTGTACAGTTCAAACAGTAAATTAAATATAAATGGAAACGCATTTTAAATACTGTTACAATATATTATACTAAAGTACTTACCATCTAACACCGTCTATATCAGAGTTGTACTCGTCGCTTTCAACAACATTGTTCTTAACTCTTTTACTTAAAGATGTGTCTGCATTTTTCTTTGGTGATTTTTTGTTTTGTCTTTTCTGAGATTCATTATTTCTGCAAAGAAAAAACAACGAATAGACTACATCGAATACAAAAGTAACGACAGTTATTAATCATAATAACGAAGAGAAAAACGAGGTATGTAAGATTACATTTTTTTAGTCCGCAGCTACTATAATTATATAAATATAAAAGAGATCACTAGAACACTTAGAAAACGTATTCAATAAAAATTAATGGATATTGTAAAGCACAATTGAATCTTCTTCTTCTTCTTCTTCTTCGTCTAGCCATTCACGTCCACATCTGAACATAAGCCTCTTCAAGTCTTCCTTTCCATTGTTTTTTATTGTACGCTAGTTGTAGCCAATTTTTTCCGGCAGTCCTTTTCAGATCATCTGTCCATCTCATAGGAGGTCGGCCTCTGGGTCTTTTGTGTTGGTATGGTCTCCAGGTTAAAATTGATCTGTGCCATTTGTTTAGATCGCTCCTAGCTACATTTCCAGCATATTCCATTTCAACTTTAACGATTTTTGCACCACAGCGGTGACTTTGGTTTTCTGTCTTATCCATGTGTTTGTTTTCTTGTCCTTAAGTGATATACCTAGCATTGCTCTTTCCATCGCGTGTTGAGTGACTCTAAGTATATTCATATTCTTTTTTGTGATTGTCGATGTTTGTGCCGCATAAGTTAATATCGGAATAATGCATGCATCAAAAACTTTACATCTAAGATGTAATTGAATTTGTTGATTTCTGAGTATATAGTTCAGTTTACCGAATGCTGCCCAAGCTAACTTTCTTCTTCTTTTTATTTCTTCAGTTTGAATTTCCCTATTTAGTATTATTTTTTGTCCTAACTATATATATTCTTCAACTTTTTCTATAACTTTATCGTTTATTATTGTCACGGTGTCTTCGGAGTGCATGACTTTTGTTTTGTTTAAATTCATTTTCAGTCCTATTTTAGAAGATTCGGTATGTAGTTCTAGAAGCATGGTTTGCATTTCTTGTAGGTCAGTAGCTATCAGTATTATGTCATCTGCAAATCGTAGATTACTGAGGTAGCGGCCATTGATGTTTATTCCCTTATATTTCCAACTTAGGTTTTTAAAAACGTCTTCCAAAACTAAGATGAACAGTTTGGGTGATAAAGTATCTCCCTGTTTGACTCCCCTGTTTAATGGTACAGGGTTCGTGTGTTCATTTTTATTTAGGTAGTATGTAACTGTAGCTTGGTTCATAGATTCTTTTATTAAGTTAATATATCTGCTGTCTATTCTACAATTTTGCATTGCGTTTATTACGGCCGTGTGTTCTATGGTATCGAAAGCTTTTTCGTAGTCTACAAATGCTAGGAAAACTGGAAACTTGTATTCGTTACATTTTTCTATTAATATTTTTGTGGTTAACAGGTGATCGGAAGTTGAATAGCCTTTTCTAAAACCTGCCTGTTCATATGGTTGAATCACGCAGCCTAAAATACACAGACATGTGCAAGGGTCCTTCTCGTGGTGTCTATTAAGTTCAGTATATGAGACGTTTACTAGCAGTTAAAGTGTTAAGATCATTAATAATTTTCATTTTAAAATAATTTTTTGAAAACGATTTCCGTACATACGTCACGACCCGATATAGCATTGCAAAAGATACGGTTATTTTGATAAATAGTTATATGAGTGGTTTCAAATCAGTGGATATGAAATTGCTTTTTTGTACACAGCTGCTATTATTCTTTTTATAAAAATCTCATTTCCTATAATTTTAGTGAAGGCTTCAAAAGTAATATTGTGGACATTCTGATATCAGAAATATATGAAATTATTATAAAATTATTTGAAAATACAGATATGCGCGTTTGAAACAAAAATAGGTGAATATCCATGTTTGATCCAAATGTGATGGTAGGTGTCCGTTTTTGATGGCAAAATCCGTTTTTGATGGCAAAAAATTGTATTTGAAAGAGTGAACCCTCAGTTTGGACCTAACTTAAAATTTAATGCTTATAACATTCATATAGGGAATCAGGTATTTTTAATGAAAATTCCAATTTTAAAATATTTTATTCAAGTTGCATTAGTACTTACCTACAAAGCAATCAAACTAAAAATATATAAAGTAAAATATTCGAACTTATAAAATATAACTTTAGTAAGATTCAAATTGAAATTAACACAAGATCACCATAAAAATCAGAATTATTATTTTAACACTCACATGAATCGCCATATTCAGCCGATATTTCAGGTTCAGCTTGAATTATGTTTATTTACCACTGCAAAGTACCATCCTCCCTCCAATTTACTCCAAAATGTTTTTCAAGCTATTTTGCTACGTTCTCAGTGGCGCACTCAAGGTGGGTTTTAGGGGGTTAACCCCCCCCCCCCCAGGACCCTATTCCGACACTGTTATTCACAAATTTTAAGGACAAAATGCCCCCGTGCCCAACCAAACCCCCCCCCCCGAGCAAAATTTTAGGTGCGCTACTAGGGTCACACCAATACGAATTTCTTTTGGGTTGATCTGTCCAATAGTGCAGTTGGTCTTGAAAATTTTCCTCTCTGCACCAGTGTCAAGGTTGTAAGCCATCTCTCCTTTCACAACGAGGTTTCCCAATTTAGTTTTCCGAAAAACTATTCATCGCAGGTGGAAATTTTGAAATGAAGTTGAGCCGCTCTTTTCATAAAACTTTTCGCTTCTTGTTTCCAGTCCAACGGTACCCAATCCCTTCCCAATCATCCCAATTCCCACTTATTACCCAACTTACCCTTAATTAGCCCAACCCAATCAAGTTAATCTTACCATATTTCTTAAAAATTTCATGATATTCTTCTTTTGTCACAATTGTGTTGATTTTTTTTAGAGATCAGCTGATCTCAATTCATTGAATACAATGAAAGCAACCTCGTTGGATGATTTCTTTGCTTCGTTTTCCGTCCAGGTATAAATTGAGACAGTACTGGGATTCAGTGATTCATTTGACAATCCTTTAACTACTGAAAGGTTATAACAGTAAAACTGTAGTGAATAGTACGCACTTTGAACCGTTACTTTTGGCAAAACAAGGTTCTTTTGACAATCAAAACTCAAAATAAAGTATCTTTGTGGTTTTTCTCGCAGGTGTTGGAAGAAGGCTTGGGCACCGAACAACGGGCCTGTTTCTTGTGTAAGTCCATTTTCATTTTTAGACACCTTTTTTCTTCCTTCATTTTTTCCACTTGGATAAGGTTTTGTAATTCCTGAGGGGATTCCCCTTGGGATAAAAATCCCCGAGTAACCTTCTCAGATTCTTCTTTACCATAATTAAACATTTTTCCCGCGATATTCAGGTCTGATGGTAAGTAGACACGTGATGAGTGATGTTGTGAATGTCAATAGCTTGAAAACTACAGATAAACTTTTTTACTTCTCTTTTCGAAGCAAACTTAACTTCCTTGTGGTTTCCGCCTCGGGTTTTCACTGGACATGAGATACACGGTTCTTGAATTTTCGAAACACTCCTATAATTCTTTGCTTAGTGAAAAACAGTTTAAACTAGTAAAAAACACAAATAAAACGATTAACATCAGACAAGTTGAAAGCAATGTGATCACAATACAGCATTCTCATTGACATCACAACATCTTTCCTGATCAACCAATATTTCGACGCTGTATTGTCGACATATTCTTGGCTGATCTCATTGAGATGTCGCCCATGCAGAGGTTTACTCATCCAGGTGCGTATTTTTTCTTGTTGAGTCAAGTGGTTTATGCGCATTTCTTGTTCACTCAGTTTAAGCGGCGTCGTATCATCTACTGCGCAAATACCTACCTGAAAATAAGTTTTTAAATTAGCAATTTGTTTATCCAATTGCTCACCTATATTCATAAGTCCTATTCCCGCGTGGATGATGTTTTTGTGCCTTTGTGAGAAGTGTTCTTACTTTCCGCTGAAGACCTTCTATATCCGTTTTTGACCACTTTATAATACCAAATGAGTAGCTTAGCGCGGAAAAGGCGTACGTATTTAATTATTGCATCATTCCGTTTCATTTTTATCATCATATTCATTTTATTATTATTATTATTTGCAGTTGCAAAACTAAAGATCTAAGGACTACAACACATGGCAGTACCTATAACAATACATAAACAGTTACAGAACCTTTTAAGTTGTAATTAAGTTATTAAAAATGTTGTTACTTTGTTAGTTGGCGAATATTTATCCAAATATAATTACCTTTGTTCGTTAATTTGCACAGATCTAATTGTGGAAGCTGATGAGTCGCTATCTAAGCTCTCTTCTGTCCGTATTCTCCGGTGTTTATTCAATAAAACTCTTAATTCCCTAGAAGCTTTCCTTTTTCGGTCTCTTCTTGTGACATTTGATGCTGCAACTCTAAAAATACTATATTTAAATTCAATCAATAAAATAGCCGATTTTTTTAAAGTACATGCACTTACTTCTCAATTGTATCACTATCTTCTGCACCATTTTCTTTCTGCAAGGTACTACTACTACTACTGCTATGTGTAGAATCTGTGTCAGAAATAGCTGTTGATTTTTTAATCTCTTTTGTGCTTGATACTTTGGATTTTTTGGCACTATTTGCACTTTGGACTTTTAATTTAGAGCCATTTTGAGTTTTTGTTTTCCTAGAATACAAATAAACAAAAATAAGTAACGATATAATGTTATTTCTGATTCAACATCAAAACACAGTTAGAATAAATAACAACTATGGCGAACTCATGAGAGTTTTGGCGGTTAAACTCTTTCCCCAGGGCATATAAAGTAAAAAATATATATAAAGAATATTAGGAAAATGTAAGTAACTTGTCTTTACAGACAATACAAAAAATCAAAAAATTCAAAACGCTAATTTAAGAGGTTGAGTGCCAAATGAGACCAACATGGTCTCATCCATTTCTGGGATGTAATTGCTGTGTGATACCAATGTAGACTCATTTGCAGCATCGAAATATTTCGTTATATGAAGCAGCGTTGGTATCGTTGTATTCATTTAAAGTATGGTATTTTTTTTTGCATTCAACCCTTTTTATACATATATGAAAATAAAAATATATATTTTCATTAAAATATTGATTCAATCCTTCATTTACTATACTCCTATTAAAGGTCCAATGTTTATATACAGCAAACGATGCACCATATACCTATATACATAATTCTGTTTCTCTTTCTGCTCTCTCTTACCTATAGCATTACATTTGTAATGATTGTGCAGATTGACTACTAGTTTTCAGCAAAAAACATTAAAACTTGAGTGCTTTTCCACTTTTTCGGCAAAGTCCACAAAGAATTTTTGCATTTTTGAGACGTAGGTACCCTCTTACTAAATAATTAACAAATATCTTCTTATGGAAATATTATTATTGGCATTGGTATTACAAATACAGTACAAATGATTTGGTTAACTGAGTGGAGTTGGCTGATATATTCCCCTACAATGGATGCTGCATTCTGCAAGTTTTTTGAGTTATTTTTCACTGTTGTAGACAGCAAGGAAAGATTTTAAAAAACATTCCGAAAATTTATATCATACAAAATGTTTAGAGAAAGCGGCTAATTTTTTAGCAACCTGCACTGGAGAAAAGGACAAAACTAAATAATGCTTAATAATTTCAAAAAACAAATAGAGAATCCCTTAAACCCACAATTTAAAATGACTATTTTTCTTGTTAAAATGGGGCAGTCTTTTAGAGGCCATCGCGATCTTTTATCTTTCGATTTTAAAGTCTCACCACAAAGTGGGGAATAAACTTCAATAAAATAGCTGTTTTTACAAAATACATGTACTTACTTCTTAATTTTATCAACACCTTTTGCACCTTTTTCTTTCTGCTTGGTAGTTCTATGTGTAGAATCTGTGTCAGAAATAACTATAACTTGTATATTCTCTTTTATGCTTGACACTTTGGATTTTCTGGTATTATTTGAATTTTGGACTTTGAAGTTGGAGTCATTTTGAGGTTTTGTATCCCTATAATACAAAAAAAAACAAAATAAATAGTGATATAAACAGTGGGTTTACTGCACAGTGATATAAACAGTGGGTTTACTGCACAGTGATATAAACACTTCTTGGAGGCTCTTAAATATATTTTAAACTATCAAAATAACACAAATAAAAATATAACATACATAGGTCACAAATACTACGTAAAAATGCTAGCAGGGGATTTAGACAAAAATAATTCCCATACAATCAATAAAATCCTGAAATTAATGAAAAAATACATTAAATCAAGAACCATTTACATGTAAATAATATTGAATTGTGATAAAAATGTGCCGATGCAGTACTTTCTTAATATTCACAACGCAATAAATAAATAATATTCCTAATTGTATGAATAGATTTTTAAATTTTGCTGACTAATGACTGAATTCGACTGATTTGTATCAGCCCGCTCTCATCTTCAGTATCACAATAAGTGAAATAGCTGATTTACCAGGTAATAAAAAGGTAGAGACATACAACTATGCTCAAGGTAACTACTGGCATCTTTATCTATTAATTTTTCAGTTTAACTGATCCTCATTATTTTTATATAAGGATATTAAAAATGCTTTTAATGTTTTTTATAGTCAAATGTACACCTTTTTAAATTGTACCGTTCCTAAAGCCAAAAAAAGGGCCAGCAACTCTACTTTCAGGTTTCCAAACTGGTTCTCTCAAGATTTAATCCATGAAATTAAAAAGAAAAATAGTCTGCATCGTCTGTGTTTTAATAACGTCTCAGGAAGCCCAAAGAGTGTTGAATTTCAGCCTTAAAGAACTGCTATTAAAAACCACACCAAATATGAGCATAACTTATGCAAACATTCACTTGAAAACCATCTACTTGCTGACCCAAACAAATTCTGTACTTTCTTTAAGTCAAAATATAAGAATAGTGGAATTCCCATAGAAATGACATTAAACAACTCCAAGTTGAATACACCTTTTGATATTGCGAGTGCCTTTGCTAAATATCTTGCATCAGTGTATGATATGATGATTTTAAAAGTGGCAACAATTTCTCCAATACATAAAAAAGATAAAAAAATGACATTCAAAACTACAGGCCTATCAGTCTGTTAAATAGTATTGCTAAGATTTTTGAAAGTATTCTTTATGATGATATATATGAGCATGTTAAGAGTAAAATCAGCAAATTTCAGCATGGTTTTTTAAGAGACAAATCAACAGTAACTAATCTCTGTGTTCTCTCTGAACAAATTGCTAAGGCTATTGAGGTAGGGGAACAGTTGGTCATTCTGTATAGTGATTGCGAAAAAGCATTTGATAACGTAAATCACTGTATTCTTTTAAATAAACTGGTAAGTTTAGTTTCTAAAGAAAAGCTTCTAATTTATTAAAATCTTATTTGTCAGATAGAAAGAATACAGTGAAAATTGGTAATTGCTTTTCTTACCAATATGTGTCATCCCCAGGAGTCCCACAGGGGAGCAAACTAGGACCATTGCTTTTTATTTTATTTATTAATGACTTGCCAGACTGTATCAAATCTTGTACCACCTTAATGTATGCCGATAATTTTAAACTTTTTTAAAACAATCTCTAATACGAAAGATACAGTCAAATTGCAAGATGATCTAAGATCAGTTATTTAATGGTTTAACAATTCAAAAATTACTGTTAATGTTAAAAAGTGTGCAGTAGTTTCATATATGTGAAAACTCAATAGTGTTATTGAAGATTATTATATTAATGAAGACAGAGTTGAGAAAGTGAGTGTTATGAAGGATTTTTTTGTCTTAAACACTTTACATGTAATTACTATTAGTCTATAATGTTTATAAGCTGTCTAAATAAATAAATAAAAAAATACTTACTTATAAATATCCTTCAACAAAATTTTAATTTCTCTCCTGAAAACACATTTTGGATTTATAACATTCTCATCCTCTTCTATATTTACTGGTTTTTGCTGTTTCCTTTTTGATGCAGCAATGATTTTAGAAAATTTAGCTGGGTGATTGTCAGATTCATCTTCAGAAGAACTATATACAGAAGAATATTTTCGTTTTTGTTTATTTCCTTCACCACACACTGGTAGACTTCTTAGATTTTTTTTTATTGGAAGTCTTTTTCTCAAAATATTATTACTATTGTATTTACTTTTCTTTGATGATTTGCACTTTTCCTTTTCAGAATTATCAGAGTCCTCACTGCTTAATTTGTTTGTCCTTTTGTTATTTTTGCTTTTGTAATTATCTTTTTCAGAACAACTAGATGAAAAACTAAAATCTTTTTTGCCTTTTTTTTCTGAATTGGAACTGTGATCACTTTCATGGTCTGAATCACTTGATGTATCACTATTTTTTGTATTATCATTCTTGGATGTATCATTTAGATCACTTTCATGGTCTAAATTACTAGGTGCATCACTAACTGTGTTTTCCTTCTCTTGTTTATGGTTTAAATCACTTTCATGGTCTGAATTACTAGATGTATCACGATTTATTGTATTTTGCTTCTCTTGTTTATCATTTATTTTGCCCTCTAAAACATCACTTATAGGTTTTTTGTTATTTGTATTGTCACATTTTTGTTTATTGGTAGTTTCATCATTTTCTTTTTGAGAACTTCTAGGAGATTTTTCATTAGTTGTATTTGTTGAATTCATGTCATTTTCTTCATCAACATCACTAAGTTTTTGTGTAGCTGCATTTTCCCCACTTTTTGAAGTGTTTGATGAAGATTCCCAATCATTAATCTCACCTACACCGATAATATTATCTGAGTTTGTAAATTCTAAGGATTTCTGACTACTGGTCTTACTTTCAATAGTTTGATCAAGTCCATCTGTATTGATTGATCCTTGTTCATCATCATCATTTTCGGAATGATTATGTCCGTTTTGATTTATTGAATTGTCTTTTACTTTACCGATATCATCTTCTTCAATACTGTTATCATCTAGTACAACAGTTTTCTCTTTAGATATATCCTTTGCATTTTCAGTACCTTCAAAATCACTACCTGAATTCTCATCCTCACTGCCTTTGTCTTCTTCATTATTATTCTCAGATTTCTCAGCATCCTTATTATTTTTATTATTCTCCTCTTGTAGAGAATGTTTGGAATAACCCTTTTCTTCATTGGAATTTTGTGAAGTTTGTATATTTTGTATACCAGATGTAGTAGAACATTCAGCACTTTCAATAGAATAAAAAGAAGCTGGTGATTGGAAATTATCTTCACCATCTGATTGAACTCCACTAGTTTCTGAAGAATTATTAACTTGAGGTTTATTTTTAATAGTCTTGGATTGACCAGTTTTATTTTTTAATTCACTAGATGATTTATTTGAAACTGCAGTACATTCTTTGTGGGGTTTTTCTGCTTCTTTTGAAATTTTATCTTTTGGTTCCGATTCAGAGTCATGATCTTTCTCTTGAAGATGTAATTCACTCAATTCAGCATCAGCAAATGGTGTTTCTGAACTCACATCTTCAGATTCTTCTTCATCCTGATCTTTATTTTCTGATTCATCAGAATCCAAAATGCGTTTCCTTTTTATGTTTGATTTATGATTTTTTGGAGTATCCATTGAAGATTTCTGTTTTTGTTTCTGCGAATTATCTGAATCTTCTTCTGAACTGTTATGGTCAAAAAGATTTTCCCTAGTTATTTCGAACCAGCTATGTTTTCCAGGTTCATATATTCCTTGAATATCCTTAAATATTATGCCTTTAAAATTTTGTTTTTTTACTTCGGCTATAATTTTTGCACAGTCTTGTTCTTGGTAGACTTTTTTCATTTCTGAAAACAATACATGATTTGGAATTTCCTTAAAATTATTTTTCAAACATTTTTTTCTTTCACATAAAGGTTCTTTCATTAAACTTGCTTCTCCAAAAAACAAACAGTCAATAACAAAAAGACAAAAGCTTACTTTTTGAAATTGCTCACTTTCTATAACTCTTTCCAATGGTATAGGATTTTTAGATTTATCTGTAAGAACAAGCTCGCCATCTACAATACAATCTTCAATAGAAGGAAAGGCAGTGTTTATGTATTTTTCAAAATCAACTATCTTTTCCAATGGGATTTGTTTTAAATCATTTGAAAAATACTTAAAAGTGCTGCCAGATTTGTGAATTTGGATTCTATCACCACCATAGGTAATATCTGCACAAACTCCATTTGGACACTTTTTAAAAACATCTTCTACTGATGTACAGTCTTCTGTTAACATTGGCAACACAGGTATCATTAAATTTCTATTCATTAATATGTTAATCTTCTTCTGATTGTTACCGAAAATAAATTTGGAAAGAACATCATCTATATTATTACAAGTTTGATATAATTTGTAGGCACTTTCATCTACTGTATTTAATATTAATCTCGGGCTAGCTTCTATTTGTAGGTCTCCTTCAATTATGTGTATCACCGTAACAAGATCATTTACAGTACAGTTTACTAGGAAATTTTTAAACAGCACCACAATTTTATTATCCTCTTCTAAATTATCTAATTTTGATAAGAAGTCATTTACATCGTTAACAGTCAAATTACTTTTTTTTGCAGGAGGTAAAGTTGTGCTTTTGTTAAAAAAGTATTGAATAGTATCTGCCATATCATTTTCTTGGTTAAAATATTTCAATACAATATTTTTGTCTATATCGAATATCCTACTGAATATTTTGATTAAATGGTTATGATCTAAGTATTCAAAATTATAATGTATAACACTTGGCATCAATAACTGATACCAAAGAATCTTAATTTCTTTACTACAGTCCACAAATGCCTTAGCAAACTTTTCCAAATGCTCAGTTTTTTCTTGTTTGGTGTCACAATTGACTACATCTGCAACTAATTTTCGGAATTCTTTAAATGAGGCATATTTATTTTGTTTTTTGACATCATCCTTATTAGATTTATTCATGGTCTCTTTATCTTTTTGGGATTCACTTACACTTTCTTCATCTATGTTACTTTCTTTTGGCTTTCGTTTTCGTCTGACGGCAGTATTTGCAATATTGCCATGAAAATCGTCACATTTCTTTATGTATTTAAGAATATACTGTTGATGTTCTTCATCTAAAAGCTCCCAACCTAAAACATCCTCAGGGTCTTCAATTCGCCGAGTCACAGCACGCTGATTTAAAAATACTTTGAACAAACATTTGATGTGATGCCATAGTTTTTGTTTACCAGGTCCAAAAGGATTGAAAGTTATTTTTGCTATTCTCCACTCTCCTTTGGAACATTCATTTTTGCAATGTTTACATGTAGCTCGTCCATTTTTAGCTTGTTCCACCACAAAAGGCTTGTTGTCCTCATTATCTTCAGAATCGGACATAATAAAAATAAGCCGACTTCAGTGTTAATTATTTTTTATCTTACAACACTTCCAATTTTAAAATTAGAATATTTACTATTTATATAACCTTTTTAAATGAAATGAACAACAACAAATAGTAAAGGAATTATGTTGCCAACTTCACACTTGTTGATGGTGCCTTTTCACAGATATATAATAAAATACATGGTACAATAAAATTCACAGACAGTTTATAGTTACCATGGATATACCACAGATCGGACGATTTTCACAATTTGGAAGTTGAAGTAGCCTTAAATTAGCTGTCAATTAAGGTTCACAGAACGAAATATTGCGTTGGCAGTGTTGCCATGGTATTATAATGTATATGTTATATGCTTCAAATACAAAGAGATAAAGCTTTTAAAAAGTACATTTTTATCATATTATTTTATGAATTCTGCAATTTTATACCTTATATAAAATATTAATGAAGTAATATTTGTTTCATTTGATATTAGTTGTAATAAATTATCAGAAAATTTTTTTGGCAATTGCCCTTTGGTAAGTTAGCGGATAGATTTGGCAATAGAGTCAGAACCCTCAAACCACCAGCTGCCAGATTGCAACAGATGCCTTTTAAATTTTACTATTTTTACTGACATTTTACTATTTACTGTTAAAAACTGTTTTAAAACTATTTACTTTTCCTTTTTTTCGTAATCGTTAAATATTAGTTTTTAAATATCTTATTGCTTTTAAATTGTGTATGTTTGGTTTGTAATGTAAACTTCAACACTGCGAAACACCAATATTTGATTCTGTCAGACCCATTTGAAGCTATCTTCAATGGGACCAAATGTGAAAATAGTCCAAATAAAATATTACAATGCTAAGAAGAAGAAATGTTTGTTATGACTTATGACAGTATTCTATGATGACAGTTTTAAGGTTAACATTATAAAAATGGTTATGGAATATCGAATCGAATAGTCCTTATGTTTTAAAAAACAAGCTAAATAAGCAGCATAAATTTTGATATTGCAGTCGATCTTATCAAATATACAACTTTAAAATCGCCTTTAATTAATAATCTGTGATACATAATTTAGGAGTTAAGTTTTGACTATACAGTGCTGAATTATTTACTTACTGTTTAAACATACGGTATGTCTGACGAGGATGACCAAGTAGAAGAAAAACCCTTTGCAATAGAAAGGGCTAAACAGGGCCGTGCTTTGTGTAAAAAATGCAAAAAACATTGTTTACAAGGGGAATGGCGCATCGCAAAGTTAGTACCGAACCCTTTTGGAGATGGAAAAATGAAATCCTGGCATCATATCGACTGTCTGTTTGAACAATTTTTAAAGCAGCGCAAAACAACTAAACGTATCGAAGATCCAGAAGAAATTGATGGATGGGATGCCTTAGATAAAGATTTGCAAGATAATATCCTGAAGCAGATTGAAGAATGTGATAAATTTCATGGTAAAGCACCAACAACTCCCAGTAAAAAGAAAAAAACTCAAGCTTCTCCTACTAAACCATCTGCTGTGGATTCAAATAAAGAAAAAGATAAACATGTCAAGAATGAGGTAGTAAGTGATAAAAAAGAGTTATTTAAGGATTTTAGGAAGTTGGTACTTGATATTGCGATGCATGATAGTCATCTGGATAAAACAAGTTGCATAAAAAAAGTATTTTCTGAGAAGTTTCCTGATTCTTCTTTTAAAGATCAAATAATACTTTGGAGCAGATTACTATTACCTGGCGTAGTACAACGAGTATATAATTTAAAAAGTAAGCAGCTCATTAAGTTATTTAGTAGGATTTTCGTAACAGATCAAAGTGATATGTTAGAACATCTGGAATTAGGTGATATTGGTGAAACTATTCACAAATTTTTTGAAGAAAGTAACAAGGTGAAACCAAACAAAAAAAGTAAGCTAACAGTTAAAGAAGTAGATGTGTTTTTAACTAGGTTATCTACTCTTACCAAAGAAGATGATCAAATAGAGCATTTTAAATCTTTGATTCCAAAATGCACATCAAATGATCTTAAAATGATCATAAGGCTAATTAAAGGTGACTTACGAATGGGCGCTGGTGCTAAAACTGTTTTAGATGCTGTTCATGTTGATGCTTATCAATCTTACCAAACTTCAAGAGATTTGGCTCTTGTTATAAATGAATTCATGTCTAACAGTAAAAAACACAAAGCAGATGTTGTGCTGATGACACCTGTTTTACCAATGCTTGCAGAAGCTTGTAAATCTGTAGAACAAGCTATAAATAAGTGTCCAAATGGGATGTACTCAGAGATTAAGTATGATGGGGAAAGAGTCCAAGTCCACAAACAAGGATCAACATTCAAATACTTTTCTAGATCTCTTAAACCTGTTTTAGCACACAAAATTGCGCATTTCAAAGAGTATATTCCTAAAGCATTTCCAAATGCCAATGATTTAATTCTAGATAGTGAGATACTTATGATGGATACTGTGAGTGGAAATCCTCTACCTTTTGGAACCTTAGGAGTTCACAAACAGACTGAGTTCAAAGATGCCACTGTGTGCCTTTTTGTTTTTGACTGCATTTATTTTAATGGAAGAAGTTTGATCAAACAACCACTCACTGAGAGGAAGAAAATTTTACAGGACAATATGATTGAAATACCAAATCGTATAATGTTTTCTGAAATGCAGAAGATTCACAACAAAAGTGAGTTAGCAAAGATGATTGCTAAAGTTTTAAAACAAGGACTGGAAGGATTAGTTTTGAAAGATTTACAGAGTATATATGAACCAGGAAAGAGGCACTGGCTAAAAGTTAAAAAGGATTATTTATTTGGAGGTGCTATGGCTGATAGTGCAGATTTAATAGTATTAGGAGCTTGGTATGGGACAGGAAAGAAAGGAGGTATGATGTCTGTATTTCTTATGGGCTGTTATAATCCTGATGCTGATATTTTTTGTACTGTAACAAAAGTTCACACAGGTCATGATGATAAAACCTTAGAAAAGTTACAAAACGAGTTAGATATGATTAAGATAAGTCAGGACCAATCGAAAGTTCCTAAATGGTTAAAATGTACAAAAACAATGATTCCAGATTTTGTAGCTAGAGATCCCAGAAAGCAACCAGTTTGGGAAATTACTGGTGCTGAATTTTCGAAAAATGTTGTTCATACAGCAAATGGCATTTCAATCCGTTTTCCTAGAGTTACAAAAATACGAGATGACAAGGATCATCAGACTGCGACCAATTTACATGAGCTGGTTAAGCTGTATAATGCTTCTGCAGAAAATATAGATATCAGCTTATTAACCAAAGATATGGATAGTTCTCAAAACGACAAACCTGCTGAATCACCAAAAAAGAGAAAAAACACAGACAGTAGTGAAAAAACTCCTAATAAGAAACAGAAGACTATTGAAAAGAGAGAGAAGACTGGCAAACAAGAGAAAATTCCAAAGCAAGAGAGTAATTCTGCAAAGAAAGCTAATAAAAATAAAACAACTATTTTCAAGGGAGTAAAAGCGGTTTTAGAAGATGAAATGAAGAAAGATGATCATGCTGACATTGTTAAGTAAGTATGTTTGTTTAGTAATAGTTTATATTTTTGTATGTGGTAGTTGTGCTGTAGTAGTAGTTTATTTATTCACAAATAGGGAAGGCTCTAATACATTCAAAAGTAACCAATTTATAACATTAATACATAATAAGATAAAAATAACAATTACACTTGAAATATAGTAAGGTCAATGTACTAATAGTTGACATTATAAGAAGAAAAAAAAACATTATTTAGCCTCAAACCGATGTAGATGAAATTAAATAAAAAATATATGTATATTCAGGTAATCTAATCTTTCCTGAATATTTAACAAATAAATTTTTGGACAATTCTGGTTTCTAAATATTTTTTATAAAATTTACAAAAATTGTTGCAAAAGTGTCAGTAGTTGACACAACAAAATGAAAAAAAATTAGTAGTTGATACATCCAAGGTTTAGTAATTGACACCCAAATATATTTTGATAATTTTATTAAGAATATGTAATTACAGGAGAACTTTAATGTTAGATGTTTCCACATCCACTGAATCTGAAAACTGATACTTTATTCTTTCTCATGAAATGAGTATCTGAGGTTGGGGCATCCTTTTGCAGGTTTTTGAGGATTTGATGAGGATTTGAAAATGTTATTACGCTCACATCTTTATCATTAATTCGAAAAGAAGTTTTACTGTCATTTTACTGCTACCAGATTCAACCTATGATTCATTATTATCACTTGATGATTCTTCCTTTTTCTTACTTACTTTTTTTCGTCGCTTTCAGTTTCTGTTTTTTAACAAAGTTTTTTTCTTCTCTTTTCTTTTGTCTCTCTTCTGCTCTTTTCTGTTTTTCTTCAAGAAGCTTGATCTTCTTATTTTCTTTATTTTCATGATAAGTTTGCCATTCTTTTGAACTAGCCACAGACGGAACTTTTTCCACTCTTCTTTTTTTTACTGCGGATACTCTGGGTTCAGGCCAAAACAGTATTCATTTAAAAGGAGAGGGTATAATTTCATTTGATGTAGAAGGTGTAGGTAATTCTTCAATTGCTGAAGATGGAACTTGTGATTGTGTTAATGAAGAAGCACAAGTGTCTTGAATAATAGCAATATTGTTATGTTGAAGATTTTTCCTAGTGGGACTAGTGTGACTTTCCAAAACATCCGAAATGTTTCTACCTGGTTCAGCCTCAGATTGGTTTAATAACTCACCTATTTCATACTGTTCTTCGACTGGCTTATCAGGTTTGTTCTCTACGTAAATGCACCTTGTTTCGCTTTCAAATTGTTTATTTCTTCTTCTAAAAGACTGTATTTTATGAAAATGTTTTTGTAAAAGTAAAAGAGAAATAAATCGTCATTGTCATTGTTCCATTCTAGGCTTGTTTTGAAAAGAGCTAGTTTTTGTTTATCAATATGTTTCTCTATAAAGTTTTTCCCTTGTTTCATTTCCTGCAATTCCTGCATTTTCTTTGAAATGTCTATTTTCTCATTGTGAAACATAATCGCACCAACATCCTAGGGAACTAAGCCACATTTTCGGAAACCATTTTTTAAAATTGATGGTACTTAACCTTTCCTCTAGAACTTTTTTCAAAAGAGGACAGAAGTGAATTTTCCTTAAAACTGGAAAAGCCTGATTCTCAATCCGCCACTGGTGTACTGCATCTTTCCAACCCTCTTTCAAAGAACGAAATACAGCAACATCCATTGGCTGAAGCAAATGTGTTGCATTTGGATGAAGGGCTACCAATATAATACCATGTTCACTGCAAAATCTACTAGTGTGTAATGTTAAATGTTGCTGAAACTGGCTTTCTACATAGAACTTCCTCAATAGCTTTCTCCATAGCTTCTTCTGTATATTGGAACATTTGTCCTTTTATAGGAGGCATATTTTTAACTGAAATTTAAAATTTTTGTTTTAGTAGTTGACATCCAAAGTGTTTCAATAGTTGACATAATGTCAACTACTAGATAGAGTGGATACATTTACGTGATATTTAAAATATAAGTGTACACATTATATACAATGAAAATAACAATAAAATATTAAGTTTTTACAGTCTCAGTATAAATGGTTAGTAGTTGACACCTATGTCAACTACTAGTATTTTTGTGTATTTGTGAGTTAGTAATTGACACCTACCCTAATTTTTGTTTTGAGAATAAAACAAACTTAAAACATTAGCAAGATGTTACCTTAATATTCATATAATATATTGATATATCTAAAACTACAGTCATTCACAATTTAATCAATAAATATTAATTTTTTTAAACTTACCTTCTTAATACTTTTGTTTAGAAAACTTGTTGCCACTTGAAGCTCACAGCTCACACAACACTCTGGCAAAAATTTCGTGGGAATTTTCTGTTTCAAGGTTAAATAATTCTACAGTTACAGAGAAGATGTATAGATGACACTAGTTAACTATGATGGTAACAATTACATTAAAAATAATTGGAAAAGCTTATTATTTATGCTTAAAATGAAAAATGTCAACTACTGGTACAGTGTCAAGTACTAGTGCATTTACCTTACCTAACTATTGGCGCTTTTAATATGGTCCATTAAGTTGCTTTTAAACATTTGTACAGATGAACAACTTTTAACTGTTTGTGGAAGCTTATTAAAGCATGCAGCATACTAACTATTGTTGCTATAGGTATATCTGCTTCCACTAAGAATGATTCTCATTCCATGATTTTGTAATTTTTGGAATTGGGCTGATTCATTTAAATTAAAGAGAAAAATAATTGACGAGCAAAAATCGAAGTGAGGTTGAATAATTGCATTAAAAAACAGTAATTTTAGTTGAAGTTGACAAATTTTTATGTATTCTTGAAAAAAAGTATAATTTTTTAGAAATCTTTTTAAATATGTAATTAAAATGGTCATTAAAAGACAATAAATTATCCAATTGAAAACCAAGGTACTTAATTGTTGTGATGATTTCTATTTTGTCATTGTCAATTTGAAGATTAATAGTATTTATATCAATATTTGAGTATTTGTATTTAGTTGTTATTATCATAGCCTTCATCGTTTTCCTTCAACACATTCAACTTTAGTTTGTTGACTTTTAAATATTTTGAATTTTGAAAAACTTGAATTTTATTTCATTTTATATGGTTTTACATAAAAAACTTTTTATTATTTCATATTTAAAAGTTTGTCCTCTAGTGTTATCCATCTTCTTCTTTGAGGGCCTCTCCTATCAGAGATTGGATATCATTAGGGTGATTCTAATTTTATTTACTGCTGTTTTGAATAATTTGTTAGTGGTACAGCCAAACCACTTAAATTCGTAAAAAAATGCCAATATTTCAAACAAACAAAAAATGTTAGTATAAATGATTATAAGCTTAAAATGACAGTACTTTTGTACTGTCATATGAAAAAAAAGTACATATTATGGACTAAATTACCCAAACATATGCATTTTTTTAGAAAATGTATCTTGGGAAAATCATTACTTCCTAATCTATATACAAAATTGATAGGATTACATTTTTTCAGGATAAGCCTTTTTATTATATTATCCTTTGTATAAATTCTGTATTACTGATTGATTCTTATTTGATTACAATATTTTTATATCTTCTAGACATTTCATCGATCACGGAGGGGAGATTCTATTAGATGAAGAACAAAAAGTAGCAACACACGTTTTGCATTATTACAATCTAATCAGAGAACCGTTGGTGGTATGCCCGTACACTGCTAGACATGTAACCTTTGAATGGATTGAAGATTCAATAGAGGCGGGGTCTTTGTGTGACTATCGCATGTACACAGTGAGGTGGAACCCTGATGGATGAAAATCTGGTTAATCATAGGACCTATTCAAAGTTTGTTAATAGCGGTAGATCTGTGATCTCATATATTTGAAAGTACTTTATATCTATTTTTGTATTCTTCTTAAAACCTCAGTATTATCAGTAATCATTTATAATTCCACATTTCACCTTTTGGGCTTTTGTATACGCTGTGCTGAATTGCTATGTAAAAATCATCAAAAACAAGTAACAATTCAGCAGTTTGATTTTACTTTTTATGACAAAGTAATTTGTATCGAACAATTTAACTGTTATTGCCGTTTTTGATCCTCTATTCGATTCTTATTGAGTTGTATTATTGTTTCTAAGTATAGTACATCGAAAGTTGAGTTAAACATTGACTTTGAATCACCAAGAACAAGGTGTGATTAGTTTACTTCTACTATGTGTTTTGCAAACAGTTGTCGACTTTTGTTATGAAGAAAAAATTAAACATTTTCAATTCTCTTTAAGTAAGATGGTTAATACTTAAGTGTTTTCTTACTGGAAAGTAGTATTGGTTCGGAAAGTAGTAAATTGGCTGCGATTCTGTGGCTTTATGTAGGAAATTTCCCACCAGTCTTCATTTAGTCTGCTCAACGAGTTCGAGATCTTCCCTAGGTCTTCGGCTTTCTACCTTACTTTTTACTATCTTATAGTTCCATAGTCTCCTTTCTTTTGGTTATATGGTTGAAGTAATTTACATAATTGACAGGTTGGTTCTGTTCTGTTCTAGAATTCTTCTGTAGGCCCACATTTCGAAGTCATCAATTTTGATTTTACCCACAAATACCAATAATTTCTAACAGCTAATTTGTGGTTCTTTTTCTTAGCACTTCAATATAGATTTTGACATGGTTTTGGATATTGTTGTCTTATCTCATTGTTTGTGTTCTTAATTTTTATTCACTTGATACTAGTTTTAGTAAAATATTTAAAGGAATCGTTGACAAAGATTCAATCATATTTTTGACCATTTAAATTATTATAGAGATATGTTGCTAGGAAGACAACTGAGGCGTTTGTCGCATCGTCATTGATAATGTCTTGCGCAGATCAAAACCCGCAGTAAGAAGTAATTCCAGACCACTTGTTATCGTGGAAATCATTGTATCGTTACCGATTTCATTTTTGAAAGCGGTCCCTTCTTGTATAGTTTTCGTCATTTTCCTTGTACAAGGGTGAACCAATTTATGTCTTGCTTGAACAAAATCCTAGTGGTTTTATATTCGATTGTGCTAAAAAAATATATATTTGAACACTTTTTTCATCATTTTTATTAAGTTGAAGACAATTTTTATGTTATATCTGAATCCAATAAAATAGATTTAAGGTTTTAATATATATTTATTATTTTAAAAGAATAAAACACTATGTTCAGCAATTTTTTTTACATTAAATGTACTTTTATATATTGTAACAGATTTACGTGAATACTATTGTAAATAATATATTGTTACATATTGTTATAAAAAATATATTTATTAAAAAATAAAATATTATGTATATATATTTATTTTCCTTTCTATTTTAACAAAATATATAGGGGAGAATGGGGAAATTCTGCGCAGTTGATAAATTGTCGATTTATCATCTGACTCTGATAAGACATTGATGAAATATAATCCCAATTAGGATATTAGTACATATGTAGATATACGATGAAACAATAAAATAAGCAGTTAGATAGTCATATTTAATAAATAACATTTTTCAAAGTAAAACACTTGCACGTCACGATTTATACAAAGTGACGTCACTTGTATTTAAAATATCCAGAACATCAACCTTAGAGTTCAAATTTTCCTAACAGCTAATAATACGAAACCCATACGGAACTGGTCAATCTTTCATAGGCGTCAACATGATGTAATAGCTAGAAAAATATAATCATCATTATTATATTTATTAACATGTTCAAAAACATTTATTATTATTAATAGTATAAATTTTATGTAATACCTCTTGAAGTCTAATATTCCACAAAATAATAATTTTAATTAAATATATTAGACAATTGTACGCAACTGATACGGAAATATATCAAATATTATTGACAGTTCAGCGTGTGGCCAAAGTGTATAAAGTGTTGCCGATTTTTTAGAGTAGAAATTTTGTTTTTGTTTGGATTTCTTACACAATTTGATCATAATATAATATATATTAATAAATTGTATTTATAAATATACATATATTAAATTTAGATTATTAGCTTTAAAAACTAATTATTATTGTGATTGTGATAAGCCAAAAAAATAAATAGTCTGTAGAAAGCTGATAAGCTTTCATATAAGATAGATTATTTTGAACAAGAAATGGCGTAATTGCCGTGTCGACAGTTACTTATTGGGATTTTGAAGTTATGTAAAGAAACTCTTTTTTTTAATCTTTCGAACCATCTTTTACTCTCTTGGAAACTAGAAGATTCGTTGTCAGCCTTTAGATTGTCGTAAAGACGAAGAGCCTTTTCTTATTTAATTCGTGTGCTATTTAGCACCCTCTTGTTTGTTTGATCTTCAATCCAAAGGGCCAGTGCCTTTTCCATTTTTACCAAGGTACACAAAGAAGTACCTACCAAATGGATGAAACACATAAAATTACAATAAAAATATTCCACTTTTAGGTTACTTATTTATTAATAAAGAAGAGTATAATATGTTTTGTCAGAAATAACAAAAATGTCAGAAGTCGTGCAGTAAGGCTACAGCAAAAATTCAGTAAAAGTTACAGTCAGTCTCTAATGTTCTTCTTTTAATATAATTATCAAATTGATCTTCAATTTCAGGGGTCATATGATTTTTCCAATCCCCTACTTCACCTTTTCGAATAAAGTGATAACCCGCTTTTTCAAAATATTTCTTTCCGCCTTTTTTATCTAAAAGTACCTCACAATTACAAGCCTTATTTTCTTTCATATTTGAAAACTGAAGAAATTTGTTGAGAGATTCTACATCCTCCTCAGACACATCTTTTTCCAAAAATTGTGCAATTTTTCTTATAGCTGTCCGACTGTCCTTCTTCATTTGCTCGTACTGGATAAATAAAACGTTTTCGTCCTGTCGTTTTTTCCAGAACTCCGACACGTGGTCAAAGAAATCTCCATAAATGACAGATCCGTTGAGGAATAGTTCACAGAATGTTTCAAAGGTTACGTTAAAGCCATGTAAAAGTTTGACGTGATAGTAGAATGAAACGCAGGTGTCTTTTGGATTCCTCGTACAGTATATTATCTGAAACAATGTAACAATTATCAGTTTATTCCAATCGTAAATAATAGTCTATATATAAAAAACTCTCCAGGCATCCTGAAAAAAATATAAGGTCAAACATAGTGTAATTGATTTCAAAGCTATCATCATAGCCAGGAATCGACAGGAGTGCCGACTTCTTCGTCAGCAGGCCAAAATCCACAATGGATTGTTGGGCCACTTATGATGATGATATAAAAACACACCAATGAAAATGGTGGCAGTAGAAAAAACATGATCATAAGCTCCACTTTTTTCTCACACTGTGCTAACACAAAGCAATACGAATTATGAATGGTGGAACAACCGCAAATCAAATTGAATATATCTTGATAAACAAAAGGGCCGCAACAAGCATACAAGATGTGAAGAGCCGAAGAGGAGCCTGTTGAGAATCTGATCATCTCCTCTTTTAAAGATCAAAAATATAGATGCACAATTCAGAGAAACACGAACAAACAACAGAACCACTAAGTAGATATACAAAAATTGAGACAACATAATA